AACATACATCAAAACCTCCGAGTTCACTTTGCACGAGATAACTGAACAGGGAATACAAAAGAATATATTTAACTGTGTTGAATTCAGCGTTACTCGGCACAGTACATGAAAAATATATATAATGGAAAAAAAGAGCAGCAATGGAAAAAAATAAACATATATAAACATCGTGACAATCATGTCCTCTGGGTCTGAGCTCTTCAGGCAAATTTCTAAACAGATTAGAAGTGATTACCACTTTTGCTGATTGCAAGCCCACCATGAGCTGATTTACTGATTGGCAGTGTAGACCTTGTAATCAGCGTGTGAACATCTCGTATTTTTGTTGTGCATTTGGTGAATTAAGCAGCTGGTTATGAGTTTGCTACCTGTTTTTCTTTTCTACCTCTAAGAAAAGAAACTTTCTTTTTCTCCTTTCTTCTAATGACCTGCACACCGAATATATGTATTGAGGATGGATGCTGTAAGTGAAACGCCTGTGTGTATACAGGAAGTAGGTGTGACAGCATAATAAATGGCTCCTGTATACAGTATAGTGAATTCAGGCCAAAAATAGGGATGCACAGATTGTAGCAGGCATAGTATTATAGAAAGTGAGAATGTGTATTTTGTTATTATACCCATGCTTCAGCGCTAAAGTGGAAAAAATAGGGTTGGGTGGAATGATGTCTATAAATCACGGTGTATTTGCAGGCCTCTGCACAACGACCCAAACAGCAGAACAAGCTGAGATTTTAAAGCATTGTCAAGGAAAAAAATAACAACACAATGACTAAGCACAACTTGCATCAGGTTGCGTTTCCTGATTAGGGCCCATCTGTGTTTACCGCCATTGTGCTAAACGTTTCCCCGTCTCGTCACTGAAAGAGACGATAAAGTTTTACAGCTTGTTGCTGAAGTTTCGAATCCCGAGGGCGCCGAGTGTTTCGCTGCGAAACGTTGGAAAATCTTAATCATGTGAATGTGAATCTTAGATCGCGCATAGATGTAGGCTTCCATCTGCCACTTTATTGCTTTTATGATTGCAACATCTTCATGATGACTAACAAATTCAGCAATTTAGATGCAGATATTTGTACGATTTGCATTGTTGCAACTGTGAATATTAGTCATTCGTGTCTTTATAAGATTTTCTGGTGATGTTAAAAGTGTAATGTAATAATAATTGTGATTTAAAACGAACAAACATAGCAATCGAAACACATTTATTGCCTTTGCTTCCTCTTGGACTATTGAGCCATTTAGAGTTTTCGTCTTTTACAAAGACATCAAGTCCGTTAACAAACATGTGCATGGGTGGAGGTCAGCGAATTCAAATCCACATTGCTGTTCTTTGTTTTGTTTTTCTGATTTACTTCCCTGTTTGGAAAAGTCACATTAGCATGTAGAACATTTCCATATTTGTCCAGGGTACTTCCTGTCTGCTTAGGAGTCAACTATATTTATAACAACAAAAAAGAAAAAAGAGAAATCAGGCTGACAAAGCCCTGCGGTTTTTAAATGTGTGCTGATCTGCACACATTTATGTGTGTGTGTTTCTCTGAACATGTGTGTAAATTTTAGCCCTTTTGTGTGAGGGAAGAAGAAACGCGGCAATTCTAGTATCTTAATTTCCTGTAAAAACTAAAGAGGATGAAAGCGTCTTCACATTACCGCCAAAACAAAGACACACAGTGGGGAAATTAAACAAACCCTCTCCAGCACAAGACGCAAAGACAAGAAAAAGGAAGCTGGGTCTCTTCTAATTCAGCTGGCAGCTTGAGGAAAACACTTTTCAGCCACATGTTTGAACATTTTATAAAGGAGCCAAGTTCGATTTATAGACACTGATAATTTGAAAGGTCTCGGGCAGGTTATTCTCCTGCCCCTAAACATATAGATCTCACTGGGAGGTGAGGAGCTTTCAGCTTTTGACACCTTCAACATTTTTCTCTCCTCTTTAATTTTTTTGTCTTTCAAGCCGGGGCAAATGCACTTCAGATCTGCCAGATTCTCACTGGCTGAGAGTGTAAAGGTTTTGAGTCAGTGTTTAATGGTGATTGTTCTGCATGTTTGTGTGTCTGTGTGTGTGTGTTTGTACAGGAGAGAGATCAGTGAGGAGAGTAGAGTGAGTTTTCTTGACAGGCCCGTCCCCCGAGTGTGTCATTTCAACAGCATAGTCCGCATTGATGCTTACACACACATACACATAAAAAACCCCCAAAAAAACACACACATACATGCAACAGCACTCGAATACACCACACACACACACACACACACAACAACTCTCTCATTAACTTGTATTTGACGTGGTATCAGAGCAGTGCCAACAGCACACACGCATCAGTACACTACCAAAGCTCATTATCAGTGCAGACTGGGTGTTTGTGTGAGTGCGCTTGCCTTTGTGTGGATTTGTGTGAACAAGC